GTGTGTGTGTGTGTGTGTGTGTGTGTGTGTGTGTGTGTGTGTGTGTGATTGTACACGGATCGAGGAATCAAAGTCTTTAGTAAGGCGTGAAAAGTTGGACCGTACCGGACCTGGACCCAAAAAGGAAACGTTAGTCCAGAAAACACCCGAATTGAACTCGGACCTTTACGCCAACAGGGTTGATGGAGTCTCTGCTACCTGGATACACAGCTAATTAAAGTCAAACAGCTCAATCTGCTGCACTGTTGACATCCTTACATCCACTGTAAAACAGTACCAAAGGTGTGATCAGTTACATGTGGCTCTATAGTGACATCTAGTGGTTGATGGAAAAAGTATAGTGAGTCAAGACCAGGCCAAGACAGACACGAGGAAAGGAAAAACAAATGTTATAAGCGAGATTAGAGTCTGAGTCAAAAGATTCATAAAATCGAGACAAGTCCGAGTTAAAAGTCTACCAAAACTAAGACGAGTTTGAGTCAAAAGACTCACAAAACTAAGACGAGTTTGAGTGAAAAGACTCACAAAACTAAGACGAGTTTGAGTCAAAAGACTCCCAAAACTAAGACGAGTCTGAGTCAAAAGACTCCCAAAACTAAGACGAGTCTGAGTCAAAAGATTCCCAAAACTAAGACGAGTCTGAGTCAAAAGATTCCCAAAACTAAGACGAGTTTGAGTCAAAAGTCTCACAAAACTAAGACGAGTCTGAGTCAAAAGTCTCACAAAACTAAGACGAGTCTGAGTCAAAAGTCTCACAAAATTAAGACGAGTCTGAGTCAAAAGACACAAAACTAAGACAAGTCTGAGTCAAAAGTCTCACAAAATTAAGACGAATCTGAGTCAAAAGTCTCACAAAATTAAGACGAGTCTGAGTCAAAAGTCTCCCAAAACTAAGTCGAGTCTGAGTCAAAAGATTCCCAAAACTAAGACGAGTCTGAGTCAAAAGATTCCCAAAACTAAGACGAGTCTGAGTCAAAAGATTCCCAAAATTAAGACGAATCTGAGTCAAAAGACACAAAACTAAGACGAGTTTGAGTCAAAAGACTCACAAATCTAAGACGAGTCTGAGTCAAAAGACTCACAAAACTAAGACGAGTCTG